CTAGGCTGGAAAAGGAGCAAATATTAGAGACCTATTCTGCACAGCTCCAAAAGTCCTGAAACTTCACGGAAGACATTTTCAGAATATATAAAAAATACTGAGCGCAAGAAGTTCACCAGAGGGGCACACCCTGCCCACGAGGGTGGGGCGCGCCCCCCTACCTCATGGGCCCCCTGGTGGCCCTCCGATGGCCATCTTCTGCTATATGGAGTCTTTCGATGAGGAAAAAATTATAAGCCATCTTCCCGGACGAGACTCCGCCGCCACGAGGCGGAACCTTGGCGGAACCAATCTAGGGCTCTGGCGGAGCTGTTCTGCCGGGGAAACTTCCCTCCAGGAGGGGGAAATCATCGCCATCGTCATCACCAACGCTCCTCTCATCGGGAGAGGGCAATCTCCATCAACATCTTCACCAGCACCATCTCCTCTCAAAACCCTAGTTCATCTCTTGTATCCAATTCTTGTCTCCAAGTCCGGGATTGGTATATGTGGGTTGCTAGTAGTGTTAATTACTCCTTGTAGTTGATGCTGGTTGGTTTATTTGGTGGAAGACCATATGTTCATATCCTATATGCATATTAATACCCCTCTGATTATGAACATGAATATGCTTTGCGAGTAGTTACATTGTTTTTGAGGACATGGGAGAAGTCTTGCTATTAGTAGTCATGTGAATTTGGTATTCGTTCGTTTTGATGAGATGTATGTTGTCTTTCCTCTAGTGGTGTTATGTGAACGTCGACTACATGACACTTCACCATTATTTGGGCCTAGAGGAAGGCATTGGGAAGTAATAAGTAGATGATGGGTTGCTAGAGTGACAGAAGCTTAAACCCTAGTTTATGTGTTGCTTCGTAAGGGGCTGATTTGGATCCATATGTTTCATGTTATGGTTAGGTTTACCTTAATACTTTTGTTGTAGTTGCGGATGCTTGCAATAGAGGTTAATCATAAGTGGGATGCTTGTCCAAGTAAGGGCAGCACCCAAGCACCGGTCCACCCACATACCAAATTATCAAAGTACCGAACGCGAATCATATGAACATGATGAAAACTAGCTTGACGATATTCCCATGTGTCCTCGGGAGCGCTTTACATCATATAAGAGTTTGTCCAGGCTTGTCCTTTGCTACAAAAAGGATTGGGCCACCTTGCTACACTTTATTTACTTTTGTTACTTGTTACTCGTTCCAAATTATCCTATCACAAAACTATCTGTTACCTATTATTTCAGTGCTTGCAGAGAATACCTTGCTGAAAACCGCTTATCATTTCCTTCTGCTCCTCGTTGGGTTCGACACTCTTACTTATCGAAAGGACTACGATAGATCCCCTATACTTGTGGGTCATCAAAAATGCACCATTCAAAGCCACATCATCAGTTTAGTATATATAGCTCTCATGAATAGATAAGTGACCAAATTAGTAGAAGTTCATCATCACATTAAAAACAAAGTACATACATAGTTCTCATTGAACAACATATAGCTCTCCAGAGCATATAGTTAAACCATACATTGAAACTATGTAAAACCTTTCAATGCAACAACAAATGCGATCCAACGGCATAATGATACCAAGCCTCGGTATGAATGGCATATTTTCTAATCTTTCTAATCTTCAACCGCATTGCATCCATCTTGATCTTGTGATCATCGACGACATCCGCAACATGCAACTCCAATATCATCTTCTCCTCAATTTTTTCCTTCAAGTAATTGTTTTCTTCTTCAACTAAATTTAACCTCTCGACAATAGGGTCGGTTGGAATTTCCGGTTCAACTACCTCCTACATAAATAAAATCTATGTCAACTTGATGGGCATAATTGTTATAAACAATAAATGAACCAAATAGTTATAAAAGATAATATATATACCACATCCGAATCATAGCCAGGACGAGGGCCGACGGGGGCGGATACCAAAGCCATCGCACTATATAATAACAAGCAATAATAAAAGTAAGAAAATTAGACACGTATCTATCTAAAGTAAGAATTTTTTTCTTCAGAAGAAGATAAGAACAAGAGGCTCACCACGGTGGTGCAGGCGACGAGATCGGCGCGGGCGATCGACGATGGTGAAGACGGGGACGGGACGGGACGGACCGCTAAACCTAGACAAATCTCGGGAAAAATGGAGCTTGGAGGTCGAGCTTCGAGAGGAGAAAGCTTAACTAACGTGGCTCGGGCATTTCATCGAACACCCCATGTGCATAGGAGGTGAGCTAGAACACCCAAATGCCCTCTCCTCGCTGGCCAGAAAAAACAGAGCACTGTGGAGTGCTCTGCTGCGGCGACGTGGTATATATAGGCAACTCATTTGTCCCGGTTTGTGGCTGGAACCGGGACTAAAGCCCAGCCTTTTGTTCCGGTTCGAGCCAAGAACCAGGACCAATGTTTGTGGGCCAGAAGAGAGGCCCTTTGGTCCCGGTTCGTGCCTAGAACCGGGACAAATGGGTCCATACGAACCGGGACCAATGCCCACGAGGCCCCGGCCGGCCCCCTGGGCTAAAGAACCGGGACAAATGCCCCCATGGGTCCCGGTTCGTGACTGAACCGGGACTAATGGGCTTGCCCTGCCCGAACCAAAGCCCTGTTTTGTACTAGTGAAAATGGCAAGGGTGTACCTGCAAAACCGACGTTGATGACCGGATCAGCCAGCGCGGCGCCACTTGGTGCTTCTTGATTCACTTTGGACCAAATTATCACATTCCATGCAAGTTGTTGGGTGACGGATGGAGTTTTGCAAGCACCTGGACTAAATCATCACATTCCATGCAAGTTGTTGGGTGACGGATGGAGTTTTGCAAGCACCTGGACTAAATCATCACATTTTCTACAAGCTCCTTGGCATGTGATGCCTTTACCTCAAATAAATAATTTCTTGTTAGAGGGGGAAAGCATAAAAATACGCCTACTTGCTCTCCGCCTTTTCTCAATCAGCAACCTCCCCTCATCAAGGGTTTTCCTCCTCTCCTCTCCTACCTTTCGCCGCTTCACCGCAACTGCCTTCCCTCCCTCGCAAGCCTCCTCCGCGTCGTCGTCGCCGCCCGCCCGTCGGATCCGCCATGGCGTCCGGTAACTATCCGCCCTCGTATTCTCCCTCCCCTTTTGAAATGAGGATCATTCTTCGACAAGGACGAGGTGTATGGAATGTTTGGTCCCTTTATTATGTTTGTGACAAAATCTTTACAAACTTCTGTCGTCTTTCACCACCTAGCGAGTCTATGTTGGACTCACGCCGTATTCAGGCGTCTTTTTGTCTTTGGAAAATAGGACCAATGGTAGTGTCAGATTAGAATACTGTACCATCGCAAACCTTTCATGAAATACATCTTTAGTTCAAAAAGGCAAGTCTTATTGTGTTTATATCTTTATTGTTTCTACCTTGATTCTTGCATGAATCTTCTTTGTTCTACTTTAGTGGATGTGTCCTAAAGAGAAGAGCCTCGTTAACCTACACCAAGAAAAAGAGTGCGAAGTTGACGAGGTCATAAAACGAATGATAAAACAAGAGCGCAGTGTGCACGTCACAAACTCAGTTTCTCGGAGGTACCTAAAGAGCGTGTTGCTTCACATAAAAGAAAAACATATATAGTTGACGCCAAAAAAATGCTTATAGTGCTAATGTATAGAACATCCCCCATCGAATTAATTTATACAACATTTTTCTATATACATTCGAATACTGTACACTTTTTTTTGAGGGGGTTTATAAATATACTGTACACATTTTTTCAATGCTGTTTGCGTCCATGCCGGACGCGTCGGAGATGGGCCGTCCCGTTCTTTTAAATCGGAACCATCTTACCTCCTCCGGCGGTATGGTATTATTTTTCTCTACTGTATCGATCTTTTTTTTTAGAATATTCTGTTGTATCGATCGAACCACCCGTCGTGGATCCTCGCTCGGCACACGCGAGCCGTCGGATCCGGCCCGTTGCCGATCCCACCACCCGCCTGCCAGTCCACCCGGGCTGACCGGGCGTTGCTGCGAGAGAACGGGCCACCGGTTTTGCACTTGTTTGTACAAACTGCAAAACTTGACTACGGATTGTGATCATGGGTCACTTCCGTGTGATAGAGATCATAGCACATTTGCTCATGAAAACAGTCATGCACAATTATGCCCTTTGGCTCTGTCCATGAAACGGGTCCACACTGGTGGCCAACCACGCCTGGAGTACATCAATCCTCTGCTCTTCTTCTTTGGGACGGCACCCGGCGGCTATTGGCCGTTCGGCCCAAATTCCTGGCTGCTTGGTGTATGCCTGTTGGATGTCCGGCAATTGGGTGTCCGGATGTGGCAATTGGCTCTTGCTCCGGCTGGTAGTCATCTATTTGTCCCTCTTCGTGTCCGCCTCCATCATGGATAATGTTCTTCATTGCTTCGTCGTTTGCCGTTGTCGCACTTGGTTGAGTCATTCTGGCAAGGCACCGGCGGACGAGAGCTCCACGATGGGATTCCGCGACCGGACAAGCGTCAGCGACTCTGTGAAGAGATTAAGTCAGTTGTTGGGGTCGACCATCGGCGACAGGACCTCACATCTAGACCCGAACATGCCTTCACTAGCTCTACTTCAATGTCGGGAAAGATGTTGGCACGACGATGAAGAAACCAAAGGACCTTACTTTCACAGCGATCGCAACGAGAGGAAACTGGGAACCCAGCCACCCGAAGCCGGTGATAGGAGGCAAGGGGACGGGAAATGCCAGCGGAGGACTGTTGAAGCCGATCGCTTGGTCTGATACAAAAATAGTCATAATATTTTGCAAAAGTTTCCAGGTGCATATGATATATATTTATACAATGTAATATATGTCCATGAAGTGTTGCTTCACAATGTTCTGAAACTATTTTGGATTACGCCTGTTCCACACCGTAGACAAGTTTTGTGCACAATCACCAGTACATCTGCGCGTCGTCTCTTCAAGGAAAAGGACCAAAATAATTGTTCCCTCAAGGAAAGCAACGTTACATCTATCAGGACCCGGAGCTAGTCTCTGCGGAGAGTGACCTGATCAGACGTCCTTTCTGGGAGCATGTCCATGATTTGCGATTTCGACACCCTACCCCGTGTGTTCTCGCTTATGCCGAGCCATTTCTTGAGAAGCTTGAACACATTCTCATCACACAGCAGCCCTCGGTGGTCGGCCCTGACGCCTACCCTTTCTTTCGCTGGGAACCCATCAGCCTGTCAGCAAACAGAGATGCATAAGTGCAGGGGAAGCTTGTAAATCCAATATTGTGAATGGCAAGGCTAGGCAAAGGCACGCTATCTGATAAAATTGGTTGTAATAAGATATGCTATCGTCCGAAAAGGAACACAAACACATTGCAGAATGTAAGATGATAAGCATTTGTGTAACACAGGCATAACCACCGTTGCCGGACCCCATGTTAGAGGAGTATAATCAGCTAAAGTACAGCTTAGTGCACCAAAGCTTCTGCTTTTAAAACAGATACCCCCTCCGTCCCACAATATAAGATGTTTTTGCAACTAGATAGTTCGCATACTTCACTATGACAGAAAGAATGGTTACCGTGGCTGATTCGACAGGAACAGTGCAATCTCCATCCACGTATGTGTATGTAGGCTGACAATAGGATAATCACATGTCATTACCATAAACAGACATTGCAAGATTCCAACAAGAACATGTCAGACTTCAAGTAACGGAAGACAGTACCACTGTGCGGCACACTTCTGAGAGATCTCCAATTGGGGAGCTTTCAGAGCCATAGCTGTGCAAAAAAGGAAAGCCAGGAGGAATGAAACGCAGTACATTTGCTATCAGATTCATCAGCTTCTGAATTTATCTATAAGAAAACAACTCTGGTTATCGTTGCAGAAGGAAAAAATACTGAATATAAGCTGATAGCACTTGTTTTGAAGCTTAAAAGTCGACTACTGTGAAGCGAACATCAACAGGAAATTGCTTCATTGTTATTCAATCATATCAGCTATTGTATCGAAAGCTCCCAACTAATGAGCAACACTAGAGTTATAGTACGCTAACAATAATAATGAATCTCACGTACCCTAACAATAATGATGAATCTCACACTATCATTTCTTGAACAGTATAAAAAGTTAAAAACACACGATGTTAGTATTAATTGCCATCATAATACTTACCAAACATCATATGGTGTTTCATAAGATGTCCCATGTATACTATAAAAACTCACGGTATCTGGTAGTTCAGCATTCTCAAGAATACGGCGAGTCTCAGTAGCCCATTTGTAGATGGACATATTGAATGGTAGTGCAATTGTCTTCCCATTATAATTGAGCTACAGAGAGAGAAAATAGAATGAAGTATCAAACAAGTAGCTGACTAAGAGTCAAAAAATACATTATATAGCTTCATGCAAGAGTTAAATCAACTTCCACTTGTTAAAAAAATAATGGAAGGAAAAGTTTTTCCGAGAATAAAACAAGATAAAGTGGGAATGTCTGAATAGTTCATTTTTTTTTTGAAAGGAAAGGTAGATCATGATCTACCTTATGCATTCAAAACGGGCGAGGCCCGGCTGGTTAGAACCAGATTACATGAAGGTGGCGTAAGCGCTGCGACAGTGCAGCTAGCCGTCACCAAGCCTAAAAAGAGGTAGAAAAAGGGGTATGGAAAAGAGCAGCAAAATTACACAGCTTAATCCTATCCTCATTGTTATTCGCACGATTACTCCACAGGCGCAGCAGGTCTGCAATCGTGCTCAACACCTTGCCAGCGGACCATCGTGTGTGCTGGAAGACCTGCTCGTTCCTGGCAGACCAGAGAGACACGGCGCAGGCTGCAAAAACAATATGCCAGAGGTTGCCATATGCAGGGGGTTCCGTGGCGAGTAGAAAAATCTGGAGATCATTGGAGCTTCTTGCCTTGTCTTGCACGCCTGCCCGCTCCCAAACAGCATCAGCAAGCCTGCATCTGAGGATGATATGGCTACTGTTTTCGGTTGCAGGGCACAGGTCGCAGCCATTGTGTGTTGTGATTGACGTCCAGCCTCTTTTGAGAATATTATCTCTTGTGTTCAGTCTACCTCGTAGAGCCAGCCAAAGGAAGACCCGATGTCTGTTGGGTATCAAAGTGTCCCATATTTTTGGAGCAGCTGGGCAAAGGATCCCCCTGAACGTGAGCAGCTCATAGAAGAATGCAGTGGTGACCTTTCCAGATTTCATACAAGGGTTTCTCTGATCTGTTTCAGTGTGAGAAATAGATGGATGCACTCCAACTAGAATCATCAGTAAGGCCTCCATTTCTCTTGTGGCTGTCATAGTTAAATTCGGATGTAGCTTGAGGTTCCATTGTCCATCAGTGAACTGCGAGGCAACAGTGCAATAAGGCGATTGTGCAAAGGTGAAGAGAATTGGGAAAGAGAATTTCAGCCTTCCACAGTCCAACCACCAGTCGTGCCAGAAGGAGATTCTGGATCCATTTCCCAAGGTACATCTCGTTGATTCTATAACTGTCTTGATGGCTGATGCCAGGCAACTCCAGGTAGCAGTGTCTCTATGATGTTTATCCATGGGCATGGTACTGAATAGTTCATTACATTTATAGGTTAAAAAACACGACATAACAATCAAAGGAAACATGCATAGTGCACTGCCACTACCACAAAGAATAAATTCATTTGTAGTGCATATTGTCCCTAAGACCCTGACTGTCGAAAGTAAAAAATATCTGGAATCTACAAATAATGTGTATACTATGAAATTAATGTACTGGACAATGTACATGTGATTTTCATGCGTATTACAGTAAGTCTGTGTCTGGATGTTTCTTGTCTCTAGTAAATGAGCTTGCGTGGCCAGTATACAACAAAAATGGCATTATTATCAAAAACATGTAGAAGTGAGTATGAATACCTCATTATTTTGTAAAGCTTCTTCAAACAGAGAAACACAATCAGTTGCTTCATACAAAACTAGCTCTACTGTTCCATCCTTTTCAGGATTCTTTCGCCAAACCTGAACGAATGGTTTTTCCTTCCACTCAAAGTTTGGATTTGGCAGCATTTCGTAGATTGATGGGCACTCAACCAGCTACATAAAGTGAAGAGGCAGAGATTATTTTTAAATGGCATGGAATAGCTACTGTACAGTAGCAAACATTGATGAGTTCATGAAGCTTAGATGCAACATGGTCAAGAAGTTACCAGTTGGTGCATCGCCCATCGAGAAACGAAAAAGAAACTTTCAAAACCATAAACAAACTGCAGTCCAGTTAGAAGAGAATCATTGATGCATCCTGGGGCACCTGCCAAGATATGAGAACTAATATAAGAAGTGTATCCTATCAAAGGTGAGAAGTGATAGAATATATCAATTGACTGAAAGTGCATTACCTTGAAATGGACAAGCAATGCAAATCCATTTATTAACATACTTTGAAAATATCTAGAAAAATGAAATGGAAAGATTTTAGAAACGAATTTTGGCTGCATAGGCAAAGTGGCATATCAAACAAGAAAACTCACATCATGATTCATAGACATGAAACAGCGTACTAGCAATCCTCCCATAGAATGGGAGATTATGTTTACTTTTTTCCCACCAGAGGCCTTGTAAGCCGTCTCAAGTTTTGCTCTCAAACCAGCCATTGCTTTGTCTATCCTGCCAGATAAAACCATCGTTACAGCACCTTGTGCTTGTGAAACAGAACATGTTTTAGGCTAAGCCACTTTTTATGCTACTGATTATAGCATCCGAATGAACCCACTTAAGTGTTGATTTAGAGGATTGCACCTGTTGCTTTGACGAAAATCATAACCATATCCAAATAGTGTTGTTCCTTTCTCATATCCACAGTCAAGGAGCATATCAATCATATCATGGAAATGGTACACCATAGTCAGATGCAGTAGCTCTACAAACTGAAGTTAAGAGAGATGGGGCACAAATCAGATCACAAAAATTATGCTCTTTGCAACAACTGGTTAAATCAGAGACGGCAATTAATTCAGAAAGGGAGTTCGCTTCTTGAATAATGATTTGAATTACATGATAAAATACCCCTATATGGGGGATTAGCCATCCCATGAATTCTTGAAGTGAACTCATTCGGTATCAACAGCTAAGATACCATTTTTAAGTAAAATTCCCTGTCCAATATTTTTACAATATAAAAAATGTTTATTTTTGTTTCGAACTCAGCAGTTACGGAATTAATTCCACCTGAAATCAACGTCAAAATGTCTAAGTACCAAGAGCAATCAAGCAGGATAAGCATCAGTTTCACCGATGGATTAATTATTCGAACACAAATCTTGTTGATACGACATGCAAGCATGTTAGCAACTTGGCATGTACTATCACTGTTTCATTGCTCCATTTTCAGCTACCAGTTCTAGCCCTGTGATTCCTCATATACTGCATAGATCATTTGATTGAACATTTCACGAGCCAAAGCACGGCTTAATTCCTTGAAGTTAAGAGAATATAAATACAAATTTGATGGCTATAATAGCTCCGGCTCAGTATTTTTTTTCCTGTGTAAGCAACCATGGTCCACATAAATCCATTTTTTTCATCCTAGTCGGTCCACAATCTAAATGCAATTTACAGTCCATATGTACCAAATGCCTGTCCCTATCCTGTTATCCATTCTCCAAGAGCACTAGTAAGTTAAAAGCACAAGAAAGCTCTCCATACGACAGTACGAAACGGATATCCATCACTGATCCCTCTATCTCTATATGTCCACTTCCTCTTCTCCCTTCCCATTTGCCCCAATTAACAGACACCAAGTGTCACAAGAATCGCCCCCAAAAAACTCCCACCGGCCATGCTCACAAAAAGGGGCAAAAAATAAACCTACTGTCAGTGTACAGTTCATCACACGAACGGAAGAAAAGATCCACTATTCAACTCCATTCACTGAACTAGCACCCATAAGCCCACTCACCCAGGAAGGATCGAGAACGTCGATGGCGAAGAGGCCATGATCGTCGTCCGGCACCACAATCTCCACGTCGTCGTCCAACGATTCCACATACCCTGCGCGAGAAACCACAAGAGAGAAGCCACCTCAATCAATCAACCACCCCCACTGCACCGAAACGTTTCATCGAACAGCTGGAGAACACGGACAACCCACCGGTCTGGGCGTTGTAGAGCGACCAGAGGTACTTCTTGAACTCGAGGTCGGCGAGGAGGATGCGCACCCAGACCCGGAGGTCGAACTTGGTGTCCGACCGCCGCCGCGCGTGCAGCACCGACCCGCCCATCCCGGACACTAGCAGCACCGGCTCGCGCGCCCCCTCCTCCTCACCCCCCGCCTCGCCGCCGCCCCCTCTCCGGGACCGACAGCTCCACCGCCGCCTGCGGCCGCGGAGGCGGAGACGGAGGTGGCGCCGGAGCACGCGGAGCCGCAACCGGAGGATGGCGCCGAGCATGGTGGTGCCTGCCTGCCGCTGCCAGCGCTCGCGCTCCCGGTGCGCCGGCCATGGGCCATTGGGCGCTAATAAACGGCTGATAAAATAACGGTGCCGTTCTCTCGCAGCAACGCCCGGTCAGCCCGGGTGGACTGGCAGGCGGGTGGTGGGATCGGCAACGGGCCGGATCCGACGGTTGCGTGTGCCGAGCGAGGATCCACGACGGGTGGTTCGATCGATACAACAGAATATTCTCAATCAAAAAAAGAAAAAGATCGATACAATAGAAAAAAAAAACCATACCGCCGCAGGAGATAAGATGGATCCGATTTAAAAGAACGGGATGGCCCACCTGCTTCGCGTCCGGCATGGACGCAAACAGCATCGAAAAAATATGTACAGTATGTACAGTATATTTATAAACCCCCTCAAAAAAAGTGTACAGTGTTCGAATGTATATAGAAAAATGTTGTATAAATTAATTCGATGGGGGATGTGCTATACATTAGCACTAAGCATTTTTTTTGGCATCAACTATGTTTTTCTTTTAGGTGAAGCAACACGCTCTTTTAGTACCTCCCAAAAACTGAGTTTGTGATGTGCACATTGCGCTCTTGTTTTATCGTTCGTTTTACGACCTCATCAGCTTCGCGCTCTTTTTTTTGGTGTAGGTTAATGAGGCTCTTCTTTTTAGGACACATCTACTAAAGTAGAACAAAGAAGATTCATGCAAGAATCCAGGTAGAAACAATAAAAATATAAACACAATTCAGACATGCCTTTTTGAACTAAAGATGTATTTCACGAAAGGTTTGCGACAGTACAGTATTCTAGTCGGACACTACCATTGGTCCTATTTTCTAAAGACAAAAAGACGCTTGAATGTGGGTGCGGCGTGAGTCCAGCATAGACTCGCTAGGTGGTGAAAGATGACAGAAGTTTGTAAAGATTTTGTCACAAACATAATAAAGGGACCAAACATTTCATACACCTCGTCCTCGTCAAAGAGTTGATCCTCATTTCAAAAAAGAAGGGAGAATACGGCCTCTTTAAGGAAAGCCCCAATGAAGAAGCCGTTGGGGTCGAGCGCCTCGCCAGAGGGGAGGGAGAACACGACCTTTTTAAAGAAAGCCCCAATGAAGCCACCAGGGCCGAGCGCCTTGCCAGAGGGGAGGGAGAACACGACCTCTTTGATCTCGTCCGCATCAAAGTCAGCATCAAGGTCACACAAATCACGTCGCTGGTAGCCAAGGGCCTCCCAGTTGATTTTAACAGAGCAATGCGACTTCGTTCCCAGGTGCCCACTGTAATGGGAGTGGAGCGCAAGTTCTTTGTCCTCTTGCGTGATGGCGACCCCATTGGTAGTCCTCGAGCGACTAGATGAAACTTTTCTTTCCGCAATCATTTGCTTTGATGCGGAAAAGTTTAGTGTTCGCATCCGCAGTTCAAATGGTTGTGAGCCCGCTTTGATGCCTCGTTTCAATTTTTTTGGATCGAGAGGAGACCCATGTAGTTGCTCTTAACATTGCAGCGCATAGAGCGTTCCTTATGAGTGAACAAGCGGGATTCCTGTCAAAGCTGCCAAATGATCTCCTTGGAGATCAAGATCTGCGTCTCAATGTCGCGCACCTTCTGACATTGCTAGATCTTAAGCGTCTTAGCGAGGCGGCTAAAAGCTTGACGCTTGTATATGAGGTGGGGTTCCCTGAAGGAGAAGAGAGGCGTGGTTAGAGCATAGCGTAGAGATGGCCTGTAGGTGGGCTGCCGGAAAGAGCATGGCATGTAGATGGCCAATAGGTGATACCACCTCTAGTATGCTCCCATGATACCAATTTTAAAAAGTCAAATTTAAATGTTTTGAAAAAATCTGAAAAAATTGTGGATGTTCAGAACACATATGTCTACAAACTCTAAAAAATTTAGATCAGAAATTCAAAGTACATATAGAGAAACAAAAGAAAAACGGATGTGAATAATTTAGGTTGTGACAATATTCATCCCTTTGTCTTTATTGACACTATTATGCTGAATTTGTCTTTTTTGTTTCTCAATATGTATTTCGAATTTTGATCTAAATATTTTAGGGACCGTAGACACATGTTTTGCGAACATCCGTGGGGTTTTTTTTTTTTTTGGAATTTTCAGAACATTTAAAATCAACTTTGTCAAATTAGTAGTATCATGGGAGCATACAAGTCATTGTATCACCTGATATTCACCCTATAAGATGTATCAACCCACAGTTGTCGCAGGGGAGAGAGAGCGAGAGGGAACCACTCCAGAATTAAACGAAGCAGCAAGTAACACACTTGTTGACTTGTTTCGCCTTCGTGCCTTTTTCCAATCGCCTTCTAAAATCAGTCTGAAACCGAGTTCGTGTTACAGGACTCACAAAGATCTTCTAAAGATGAAGAACACGGAAGCAGCCAGCCTAAACAACAGATTAAACAAAAATTGCACCTTGCGATATCATTTTCAACACCAAGAAATATTCACGACAGGGGTATATACGCAATCATCACCCCTGACAGCTCCCACAGCGAACCCATATCCCCCGTGCATGGAGATGGACCAAGAACAGGGTTGCACAGCAGGATCAAAACAAATGAGAAGAAGATGGGACTCTGTTGAGTAGCACCGCAAGGCCACACAGGTTACAGGCGAGAGCTACCGACTAAGTAAAACTGAGGGGAAACAATCAACACCACGCCACGATATGACACCGCCGAGAGTCCAGAACCAAGGGAGAGTTTTAGGATCAACGAGCGCTGGGTCTGAGGGTTTGCTTCATAGGAACACGTCCTGCTCGAGCAGCTTCACCACCTCGTCCTGGTTGTTGAGCTTGGCCACCTCGATGGGGGTCTTCCCGTCCAGATTTTGGAGCGTGCTGCAGTCGTTTAGAAACAGTTGAACGTGAGCGAGATTTATGCTGGTTAATTAGAGAGAGAATAGATGGTTTCACTTACACAGCAGCGCCGTGCTTCAAGAGAAGATCCACGCATTCCTTCCGACCGTATCCAGCGGCATAGTGCAGTGGGGTGTTCTTGTTCTTATCCAGTGCGTCAACTGCAGCGCCTGCCTCCAGAAGGATTTCTGCACACTTCAACTGAAAAAAAAAACACAAGCTGATGCAATCAATTGCTGATAATCAACATCTTTTTATACAATATATGCAGGACACGCTAAACAAGATATCTAGTAACATATACTACAGATAATAATAAAACACAGGTGGCCTTGAAGTGAGAACTCGTAGTAGTATATAAGTTGTTATGTTCCAAGTTACAATTCAACAACTAAGGACTAGGAAATGTTAATAAGGACCTTGTAAACAAAATATCTTCAAAAAATTAACAATTTACCAAATCACAAAGTATACTGCTTGAATTGGCTGCAATAAGATATACCATGACTAGAAACAAGTCAACTGAACCATATCTCTTTATCAACTCATGGAATTTGAAACTTACAAGTGACATAACAGGAAAGGCCAGATGTGGAAATATGCTACAGTATAAGGGTATACTCAATTGGTCTGAATGTTGGATCATTGATTTAAGTTGACAAAAGTTCAGCATATCACGCACCTCGCCGTATCCACATGCAAAATGTAAGGCCCTTCTTCCCTCCACATCTTCTTCATCCTTGTTTGCTCCACCATCTAATGCTTTCTTCAGTCCCTGTTGTCGTATTCAACTTGTCAATGCAGCACTTAATAGTAAATAAGTACAACAATATCATATAGAGATTTCCTCAGGCGCAAGTAAAAAGATGATGGTAGAAGTCAAACCACATCTAACGCAAGTTAAGGGGAAATCCCATTTAGAAAGAAAACAAGGCTATGGTATCCAGTGAGAAATGGCCCTGTTCAAGCTCAGATAGTTCTACCACAAAGAACAGCAATCATCTGAGAATGGACCCATTTTCAGGATCCACATAAATTACAGGATAATTTGTGAGTTGCCTTTAAATAAACAGATTAGATGACTCATTTTACAAGCACAGTGCCTGTAGGCTATATAAACCAAAGAAGCCTGATCATGATGTAAAACCATCAAGGGAGGGGGAGCATTCCTTAGCCACACAAATAAAAGTTTGTGAGCCTAGTTGGAGATACATGCCTTTCCTTAACCAAAAAATGGTTGCATAGTGACAAATGTGGTAAACACTAAATGTTAACCACTAAGTAGCACAGAGCATCCTTATGAAGATACTGACATGGATAAATACCAATAAAATTGGTAAATCAACTAGCAGCAGAAAAGAATTAGAAGGCAAGGCCTATCAATATTCTTTGACGCAATTACCTCTGCATCACCGACACTGGCGGTGTTATGGACAATGGACTCATCATCATCCTCGCCTTCTTCATCAGTTTCTTGAGGTCCAGATAGTACAGTGGAAGTAGCAGCATCTACTGGGAAGTTCAATGACATAGCCTGGCCAATCTTTTGAAGAATCTCAGGGTCATTCCAGTACCTGAAGTAAAGAAGAATATCTCAGCAACTTTAAGCTGTAATCAGGTATCCATACTCGCACACAATACCTACTTCACCATTGCAGATGGACCACCACGCTCTATCTCATCAAGAATTGGCTTCAAAGACGGATCATCCTTGATACGGGACATTCGCTCTTCAAGCTGCTCTTTGTGAGCTGGACTAGTCAAGTTCTCAAGCATACTGGACATTGCAGGATCCTGCCATACATAGGAGAACACTTGAGAAAAAAAATGCATTGCATAAAATTTGGGTGACAAGCGAGGAAATAAAATGTGATACCTGCATAAGAGTATTCCCAAGACGCTCCGCCATTGACATAAACTGAGGATTCTGCATAACTTGTGTCATGGTTTCCATGTATGCTTGAGGATCCAAATTTGGAACACCCTGTTCCCCTGTACCCTGCGCACTTTTCTGAAGCTGCTCAGCCATCTGGTTGAATACAGGGTCGCTGGCAATTTGCTCAGCCATCTCTCTTATTGATGGATCCTTCAGGTGACAACATGAAAGTTAGATATATACAAGAAAAACAAAGTAGAACTGCTGTAATGCACAAAGGAGGATATGTTTCATGAATCTAGCACAGCAGAGCAAAAAGCATTTCAAGTCCATAATTGAAAAACATATTAAGGGCACAGGGAGAAAACATACATTGAGCAAGCTGCTCATGTTGGAGAAATCAAAAGGACTGGGAAGGCCTGCACCAGCTGTTGGGGAAGCCCCCTTTTTTGCCTCAGACAGCCCCTCCGATTTTGAATCTTTGTTCTGGTCTGAAATGTAATCGGCAGATAGAAAGGGGAGCACGTCAGAGGCTATCAAATTATGCATTAGAAATAATAATAAATGCCAAACTACCATTGCTTGTGTTTCTGTCTTAATGACACAAACCAAGTTACAAGGGCTATTTAAGTATCTTAACCGGTAGCGAAATGAATGACAATTTCATGCTCAACAAAATTACAATTATAACAATTATCTTAAGACAGCAAACTCCTAGGCAGCCAGGCTACACCCTATACCAGCAGCAAATGGTTTCATGATTTGCACCGAGGCATGTCCTGTTCATCATCAGTTCATCATTGCACAGCAACAGCAAGAGCAGCGAAGTAGAAGCGCACATCTAGCTAGGCATTACAAGCACGCTGCCTGTGCTTCACATTTACAATCGACAAACGAAGAGTCCTGGTGCCATCAAAGTACAGAACAACGACCCTCGTTGCCATGTTCTCACAGAATCGACCCAAAACCTACAAAACCATAACTGCCCTCGCCCTGCGGCACGATGAACTCCGAACCCGCCACTCCACGGACCACACTAGGTACTACGACTAGTAGGTAGTTCCCCTCGGCCACATGCCGCATCCCCTGGAATCGATCTAAGCCGCGCGCGCGGAACGCTCCGGTTCCCACGCCGCGGCAACCAGAACCCCGGAAACCACGGGCCCTACCGCGGATCTAGCGGCTGGCCGCTAGCCGGCGAAGAGGGGCCATGGAACGGCGCGGGAAGGGAGAGCACGGGAAAATCGAGCGAAGAGCGCGTGAAGGGCGGGGAGGACCGGAGGGGAGGGGAGGGGCGTTGGGAGGTAGTTACCGGAAGCCATGGCGGATCCGACGGGCGGGCGGCGGCGACGCGGAGGAGGCTTGCGAGGGAGGGAAGGCAGCAGCGGTGAAGCGGCGAAGGGTAGGAGAGGAGAGGAGAGGAGGAAAACCCTTGATGAGGGGAGGGGAGGAGGTTGCTGATCGGGAAAAGGCAGAGAGCAAGTGGACGTATTTTTATGCTTTTCCCCTCTAACAATAAATTATTTATTTGAGGTAAAAGCACCACAGGCCCAGAAATTTGCAGAGAGAATGTGATGGTTTAGTCGAGGTACTTGCAAAACTCCATCCCGCCACCCAACATCCTCTGTTGTCGGATGATGACGTCGTGATGCTGTATCCGTCGGTGAGCTCCTGAATTATGTCAGTCTTTGTTCCGCGTTGTGCCAATCCCGTTATTCTGTTGGGCGACGACAATGTGTCGTGTCGTGTCATGGAATGTGACAGTTTGATCCAAAGTCAATCAAGAAGCGACAAGTGGCGCCGCGCTGGTTGATTTGCTCGTCGCCGTCGGTTTTGTAGATAAACCCATGCCGTTTTGTGAAGTTAACAGAGACAACGATCACATCGGGTGGATCTGCAGGAAGCTCATCGTCGCGAGAGGAGACGAGATGTTCAAGCTGCCACTTTGAACCATTCACTCCGGCGTGCCCGACGGCCCACGTCCACATGTGCCTTCCCTCTCATGTCACTATGTTGATAGCCTGATAGGTGACAATTGAGAATAGTGTAATCGGGTGATGCATAAGCATGTCCAGTTCTTGTCATTTTGTTTTGTCAAAATGTGTGTACATTTCTGATAAGTGGCATTGGAGAATAGTGCAATCGCCAATCGTGTGATGCATACTTATGCTCTGTTCTTAGGAAAGTAAAGAATCATGATGCCCTTTCCATCTAAGCCTTGGATTTTTTTTCCATGAGGACACATATAATGCTATGAATTTTAGAATTAGGTTGATATGGACGCAATCCTAAAGAATCCATTCCTATAAAATGAATGCGATGCATTTTAGAAAAAAAATCTTGTAGCAAGAATCCATGCATCAGGGCAACGTGGTTTTTAATGGAATCCCCCTCCGAGAGTGTGGTGTTGCAGCACATACATGATGAAGGGGGCAATTGGAGTACCGAAAGACGTTTTGCATGATGAATGACTCAGCCTCCCTGTGCGCACGTGTGCATGCAGGCGTTGCAGCCCTTATGGCATCTTTGAAAAAGAAAAACCTATATAATTTCGCAAAAATCATACAAACCAAATTATCAATCTCCAAAGGCCACAAACCATCACACCTTTGGACCTGATTGTGTTATGATTCAAATCTTTGGGGTCCTTTCTACATTTTTCACGGGATGCTCTGTATTTTCATATTTGTTGTGATGTTGTTTCTGGTTGTACTATATTGAATCTACACCTACTAATAAAGGGAAATGATATTCTTGGTCTGACATATACTTTTGCAGAAATCTCCTGATATTTGTGGGAACAAAACCTGCAATCCGTTATATTGTAATTGAAAGTGAGTCGGTGATGTTATCGGGCCTCACTGCGACGTTTATGTTTTTGGGCCAAGTTGCATAGATTCCGCTCATGCTTATAAAACAAGTTTGTTACAGCGAGGAACATCTTCGGCTTATGGTGCAGTAGTGCAGGAGATCAAGGAGCATTCTAGTAGTTTTATTTCCTGTTTATTTAGACACGAGTTTAGAACCTCGAATGTCGAGGCGCACAAACTAGCAAAGCATGCTTTAACTCTTGGGACCGGTCGCCATGTTTGGTTAGGCCACCCGGGAGAACTTTCTTTCGTCCCTGTAAGCGTGACAGATCATTAATAAAGCTTTGCGAGTTCGTCTAAAAAAAACAGGTTACAAGTCCCACCTAACTTCTTTACACCTAATTTCACCAATTTATATATGCTTGTGAGTATGAAAATTAACAAGTAGTATGTGAATCAACTAATGGAGGGTGAGTTGTGGGTAGGAAAGAAATAAATCATCCAATTGGCATAATAACTAAATAAAATTGTGGATTGGGGAAAAATATAAACAAAAGGGATTGTGGGTTGTGAAATGAAAAATCCCGGTCAGCATAAATAAAAGGGAATTGTGGACTGCGAAACAAAAAATCTCAGTTGACATAAATAATGGGAATTGTGGGTTGCGAAACGAAAAATCCCGGTTGGCAACGGGATTATAGTATGCGAAACGAAAAACCCCGATAATATAAATAAAAGGGATTTTGGTCCACGAAACAAAAAGTAAACAAATGTCTTCCCACTGGCATAATTGAAAAGAGGCTACGTTGCGGTATAAATAAAAGGGATTGTGGGCTGCAAAACAATAAATAAATAAATATCTCTTGGCTGGCATAAACAAAAGTGTTATGCCGTGGAGTGAAGAAAATAAGTAAACAACACTGGGTGAACAATATCAGCATTTTACGCCAATATTATTTTCGTTTAAAGGCTGAATTATGTCGAGAATTTCATCATTTTTGCAACACTGGGTGCTACTCTTATCTAAAGTTTCGGGGTCCTTTGGGACCTTAAAAAAAAACGCGACGCCGCAGTCCATTTCCGAGCTTATCCGAGAGCGGGACGGCTGTCAGTTGCCCAACGGCCGGCATCAACGCCGATGCCCTCTCCCTCCCTTCCAGCCGGTGCTGCCATGGCCTCGACCCTGGCCGCCCTTCCCCCCGGGCTCCCACCGTCGCCACCTCCAATCCAGACCCCTCATCGCCACTTCAGCCCACGGACACCAAACCTGCAGGCGCTCTCGTCCGAAACCCCCTCCGCCTCCGCCGCGGCGTCGCTCCTCGCCGCCGCCGCGCGCGCCGGCGACCTCCGCCTCGGCCGCGCGCTCCACCGCCGCCTCCTCGGCACCGAGGTCCTCGACACCGACGCCTTGGTCGCCAACTCGCTCCTCACCATGTACTCCAAGTGCGGCCACGTGAGCGCCGCGCGCAGGGTGTTCGACGGAATGCGCGGCCTGCGGGACCTCGTGTCCTGGACGGCGATGGCCTTCTGCCTCGCGCGAAACGGCGCGGAGCAGGAGGCCCTGCTCCTCCTCGGCGAGATGCTCGAGTCGGGGCTCCGGCCCAACGCGTTCACGCTCTGTGCCGCGGCTCGTGCCTGCTTTCCGGGGGAGCTCTTTCGCCTGTCTGGCGCCGTGGTCCTTGGGTTTGCGCTCAAGACGGGGTTCTGGGGCACCGACGTGTCGGTGGGCTGCGCATTGATTGATATGTTTGCGAGGAACGGACACCTGGTGGCAGCACGGAAGGTGTTTGATGGGTTGGTTGAGAGGACAGTGGTCGTCTGGACGCTGATGATTACACGGTATGTGCAAGGCGGGTGTGCAGGCAAGGCGGTTGAATTATTTCTTGGCATGCTAGAAGATGGTTTTGAGCCCGACGGATACACCATGAGCAGCATGATTTCGGCATGCGCAGAGCAGGGATCGGTCAGATTGGGGCAGCAACTGCATTCTCTAGTACTACGGCTGGGGTTGGTTTCTGATACTTGTGTGAGCTCTGGACTAGTGGACATGTACGCAAAATTGCAAATGGAACAGTCCATGGAATGTGCAAGGAAAGTCTTCAAACGAATGCCCACACATAACGTTATGTCATGGACAGCACTGATATCAGGATATGTGCAATGTGGAGCACAGGAAAACAATGCAATAGAACTCCTCTGCGAAATGTTAAATGAGAGCATCGAACCAAACCACATCACATATTCTAGTCTTCTTAAGGCCTGTGCAAACCTTTCTGATCAAGATTCAGGCAGACAGATTCATGCCCGTGTCATGAAAACCAGCATAGGGAATGTAAACGTTGTTGGGAATGCTCTGGTCAGCATGTATGCTGAATCTGGTTGCATGGTGGAGGCTAGAAAGGCGTTCGACCAGCTTTATGAAAGCAACATACTTTCCACCAGTTCTGATATTGGTGGAACTGAGAGCAGCAATGCCTCTTGGAGTTCTCAGATTGAGAGCATGGACGTCGGAGTCAGCACCTTCACATTTGCTAGTCTGCTTAGTGCTGCTACCACTGTAGGGTTGCCAACCAAGGGTCAGCAACTGCATGCGCTTTCAATCAAAGCAGGCTTTGAGTCTGATAAAGGTATAAGCAACTCCCTTGTTTCCATGTATTCTAGGTGTGGATATTTGGATGATGCTTGTCGAGCATTTGATGAAATGGACGACCGTAATGTGATTTCATGGACTTCAGTAATCAGTGGCTTAGCCAAGCATGGGCACGCGGA